AACGAATTAAATTCAACAATCGGGGCCTATAGAAAAATATACATGTATATGAATTCGATATAACGATTTATCGAATTCGTTTTAAGGAATTTAATTCGTTATAACAAATTAAGGAATTCGTTTTAACGAATTTAATTGTTATAACAAGTTTTAGAATTCGTTATAGCAACTTTAATTCGTTATAACTAATTTTTGAATTCGTTATAACGAATTCAACAAATTTGTTATAACAGATTAAATTCGTAATAACGAATTCAGAGAAATTGTTATAACGAATTAAATTCTTTATAACAAATTCGACAATTCGTTATATCGAATTCAAAATATTTTTGATTGGTCCTATATGGGCCTTCCGTAAGTAAAGAACTTAGTATAAAAAAAATACTTATATATTAGAGGCCAATAGGCCACATGTTCAAATGAGCATTTTATGCTCGATTTGACTAATGCATGTATATATTCTGCGTAAATTATAGAATTATTGTGGATTCTTTTCTGGTTACACAAATAAGAAGGATACTGCATTTAGAGGCAAATACCTTAATGCGGGTAATACTGTCTTATGACAGTCTACAATGTAGTTACAACTGCATTTTCGAAGAACTTGGTTTTATTTAAACATCTGGACACCTATTCACAAAAAATCGTAAGTTTACGACTACGGCTTGAACTTACGATAATCCTAAGATTTAAGTTACGAGCTATTCATGAAAGTGGTCGTAAGATCGACACATTGTCGTAAGTGAAAAACGACCGTAAGATTTTCTCTTCCCTAGTTACCGACAACTGCTCATGCGCAGATGAAGTAATTAATGCGGGAAACCCGATGAGGCAATCTTGAACGCAAACGAATTAACGTCGCCAATATACCATGATTACGGGTTGTCTCAGTTCTGATTCATTCGTATATATTATTATATTTTATGCAATATTGTTTGTTAACAATAAGAATATTTTGAAAATCAACATTAACGTTTTTGGTAAATTCACTACAGCAAGACTGATATTATAATAACATGAAAATCAATATTAACGTTTTTGTTCACTGCAGCAAGGGTGATTTATAAGTTGTAGGTAAACAATAATAGCTGCAAAGTTCGATACTTCCATTCAGTTATATCTTGGAAATCATTCATATGATCACTGCTCAAATATATTAACATTGATTAATGATTCAAACTATAGCAGCATTTCTTATACCGCATGACATGGAACATCAAAAACTCAACATGCTCAATATTCAAAACTTAATAACAGCAAATTATGTGTTTAACTTAGAACTATAGAAATATTCTTCAAGGAATATATAAAAAAAAAAAAAAGTAAAATTGTTTTTCTTTTGAAAAAAAATATGAAGTTTGAGAGGATTTAGTAACGTTCTTGTGTGTGTTTGTATGTGTGTGTGTTTGGGGGGGGGGGGGTTAAGTAGGTGAGTGAGTGAGTGCATAACGGAAGTTAAGTAAGTAATAAATTCATATCAGGATCGATGTGCTCTTTTGCGAGGGATGCCATGCTATACGGTACCCTTGTTAAATTAAATATTAATTAAAAAATTAATTTAAATTTTTAGCGTCATACTGAGAAATCAAGTCTGGAATACGTACACTTAAAACAATAAATTGAATCAAACCGCAGTTTTTTAAAAAAAAAAAAAAAAAAAAAAAAAAACGCTTAATGATATAATCAGAGGTGTGAAGTCATGTTGTTTTTTTTTTAGAGAAAAAGAACATGTTAAACATTAATAAAAGGCCAATTTTGGCTAGAAAATGTTCAATATTTATTCAAAGGCCTCTTTTCTAGATCTAGCAATTAGAAAATTTTTAATAAATTCGAGATTTGATAAACTCGATCTGAAATGTAATCAATATTCGCAATCAGACAGTAATTAAGAAAAATCTTATACCTGTTCAAATAGCAGAAATTTTAGCGAGGATTCAATTTGGGCATATTACGTGAAGTTGTTGAGATCGTTAACATTAAATATCGCTAACAGTTCATTCAATATTGGAGGTTACTCTTTTCTTTCTATGTATTTCAAAATCGCTAAAATTACCTCTCGCAAAATTAAGGAAAAATCACTAAATTTGCATCTCGCTACAGATTCCATTCATACAGTCTAATGCATGGTGAAATTTTGTCCGATTCATAGTGATTGAAAATGGGTCACTCTTAAAAATGTCTGTTTCCAAGACTTAGTAGAGCCCCAGTAAGTATGTCTTGGACAATAATTTACATTTCAAAGTCTTATTTTATTTCACTTCCACAGGGAATTCTGTATGGATTCAGTATTTCTTAATGTTGTCCGATCCACCATAAGTATTTCAAATGAGATTCAAGAGATTTACAGATCTTGTATGGATATATATAGAATACTTGAATCTGACTATCTGAGGTACCCGTGGAGACCGGCGTCAAACTTGATTGTATCCACCAGGGACGGATAATTTTAATAGGCACAGAGGGCGCAGCCGATTGAAAAAAATAATTAAGATGTATTCAAAGTCAGTTGACCACCAGAAATTATTGAAGGCATCATAAAATAAAAAGTTGAATAAAACAAAAATGAAAATAAAATTCGAATGTATATTGTTCAAATTTGCTGAGAAAGGACAGAAAATACATGTGATTAAAATTAATGTAGTTCGAATAAAAAAAATTTTTTTGGTTCAATTTGAAACAAAATTGAAGTAATTTTACAAACGATATTGACTGTATAATGCTTGTATCGACAAAGTTTATTCTATGGTACAAAATTGTTTTTCTTGACTTTTTTAAAAAAACAAGTACATTGTTTTCCTAGTAGCGAATATTTGTCAGCGTCGTATATTTTTTTTAATAAAAATATTCTTGAAAAACATAGTGACGGGTTGAAAAATTTCTTTTTAAGTAAATACAATAAAAATATAAATATCATACCCCTTTTTCAGACTGGAATTCATGAAAATTGGCCCCAGGACAGGTTGCCTTAATGTGTAGTATCCCCCCTCCCCCCGCCTTTTTTTTTTTTTAGAGAGAATTGTCGTTTTCATATAAGGCCATCGATTAACCCCTGCTTTTATAATATTTAGTTTTGGCAAATTACTTTCTTAACTTTAGTTTCAAAAAATTATTTTGTTGAAAAGAGAATATAATCTCTCCCCCCCCCCCCCCTTAAATTTTTTTTAATAAATTTTTATTCATGTCAATTTTTTGCAGGCATTTTGTTTTCTTTTTCTTTTCTTTCTTTCTTTCTTTTTGCATTGTCAATATATCTTTACGGGGGTGACACTCTCTTTTGACTTCCTCTCTTGGTAAACGGTACCATTTCTCCGTCGGTCAGTGATTCAAACAGATCTGTGCCGACCCAAAATATTTTTTTCTGCTCCGTTTTGATTTTTTTTTACGATAAAGATAACGTGGTGGCCATTTTTATTTTTAGAGTTGATACCATGTACGTATTTATAGACTTACGTCAACTAAAGACTAGACGTAAACTTACGACTGTTTTTGACGTAACGTCAAACGTACGATTTTTTGTAAATAACCAAAATCTTAAGAAAAAAACTTACGACAATCTTACGACTACGACTGATCGTAAGATATTTTGTGAATAGATGTCCTGGTAATCAAACTATACTAACAGTTCCTTTTAAAAGAATGGATTTCTTCAAAATCAAGTTACAATTTTAAGTACTTTTAACATTCCAGTCAATGGAGGTGAATTTGATTTACCGTACCTATAGTGGATTCCAAAACTTCATAAAATCCTTACAGAGAGATATATATTGCAGGATCTATTAAATGTTCTACCAAGCCCCTGTCTTTACTCCTTACAAAAATATTAAGTGCTGTGACGCACTGTGCTACAATATATTCAAGAAGTGGCATAAATCAAATGTAGATTTTGAAGAACTTCGAAGAATTTTTGGAAAATTTAAACAATCACAAAATTTTGCAAAAATCAATGGCATTAACTTGACAACGCTTGCTAACGTTTTCTCTTCATAAATTTAAGACCAGGCTTTTTGACATCATAAACAACTGCCTCTTTAATAAAATTGGAATTCGCAAATTTTCATATCTTGTGATTCATCATCTACAAAATTTTTTTTAAAAAATAACCATTCTGATTTTACACACAAGAACTCTGTGATATTAAAAAGATACTGGAATCCCTCACTGAAAATATTCTTTGGAGACTAGGTGTTCCAATGATTTCTTTGAATCCAGATGCATGGACACTAATTCGGCCCCTTTGTTAGTCGACCTGCTTTTATATTCTTATAAAGCAGAATTTATTCAAAAAGCTTCTTCACGAGAAGAAAACTTAAATTGCACCTGTATAAAGATGTCAATATATCGACGACGTTTTATCAATAAACAGTGGTTATCATAGAGTCATACACAGATACGCTTCATACCTCAACGTTTTACCGACTTTAGACGTTAATGGCCGACTAACATCTAAACCATTGAGTAAACGATAAACAGAATGATTTCAGCCTCTCCGTCATCTCTCCCTATTTGTGCAGCAATATATTCCACTATCACCTGCAAATTGCGTCAATCTAATATAAACTGGACTAGTATTTTCGCTCCTTTACTATATGCTTCAAACAATTGTCAGGCCGTCGTATTTATGCTAAGGAATACATATTACTCCGTTTATCACTGGCTGATAAATACAGAGGGCTCATGGCGTGTGTGGCCGGTAGACAGGGGATGCTCATTCCTCCTGGGCACCTGATCCCACCTCTGTGTTTTGAGGGGTCTGTGCTTTTTGCCCTGTTCACGAATCGTTTTCTTCTTGGTAATAGATTAAGGTCACATGGTCAATATTATTGAAACAGCTACAACTCATTTAAATGATGCAGTGCAGTGTATCCGTTTTTAAACTTAAAGAACACATTCACTGCATAGATGACCAGTGGTAAGATGACACACAAAGATATGGGGTCATTCATTCGAAAGACGAGGTCAAAATGATATTTTCATATGGAAAAACTTTAATGGGATACAAATTTGAACATGCAGCTTTTTTATTCACTATACAATTAAAATGCCCATAAATTCTAAGCCACTTGCTCAAATGTGAAGGTTAAAAGGTCAACATTATCGATAAAATAAACATAGTATATTACATGGACGAAATTGTTAACATTCTACATGTAGTTTTAAGTAAAAGGGTGAAAATAAGGAACCGTGATAAATCTCCTGAATCCAGTGAGATTTCTTCTTCTATCTATCTATGCAGTAAAATTTAAAAAAATCATTGTAAAATATAAGTCTCTTATCTAATAATGTGTCTTATAAAGTTATTTTAAAAACATTTTATAACGCACTTTCAATAATAAGGGAAAAATCCGTAGACAATTAAGTGTGTAAATAATTGTCTATCAAATATAGGATGAAAAACGTCAGTCAGCATTTATTTTGACTTAATGATAGGTTGTATTTGCTGACAAGGTCACTGTATCGACCATGAAATGATGACAATTAATTTCATAAATTCTAAAAAGTATCACCAATGATATGAAAATATATATCAAGATGTTTTGATTTTCAAGTGACCCTGAGTAATTGTAAGCAAGTTATTTATCCACCCTCGAATTGTCTCCTGCGTGTATTCTGTACAATAATATGCGTGAAAACTGTTTGCCAGACAGTACAATTAAATGTCTTGAATCAATCGAGAAAATCATTTCCTGAACCTCCCCGAGTGCTTTGGTACTGAAGATCTCTGAAGCAGTAGTACTGTTCCATATTTTAATTTTGTTGTTTTCACATGCTGACGCTAACCAACGACAGTCCGTCGAAAATACCACATGCCTAACCTAAAACATTAAGATAATATTGAAGTAAAATGATACGGAGATATATGCTTTTTTCAAGTGAAAACATGTATCAAAATTTTTCAAGAGCATTTTTTTTTGTAAATAACATAATGATATCTGATAATTAAATTACAGGTGCAGTGATTAGCTTTCATACTGGAATGAACACTGTTGTTAAATTATTGTATAATCCATAAACAATCAAGTTTTATTGTTGTCACAAAATTGATAGACATTATATTCGACGTTATACATACTGGTGCTGCATGTTTGGTGATAGGTAACTTTTCCCCAATTGGATAAGCTGTTGTAACATCAAAAATAAAAACGTAACCATTTTTCATTCCTAAAGCCATTGTTCGCCCATCTTTGCTTTGCGCAAGTGCTTTACTTTGTCCTTTGAAATCTTTAAAATTCTCAAACCAGTTACTTTTATTTGATGACTGTTCTTTGTCTTTTGCTCTTCTGCGGCATTTTCCTACATGAGAAACATTGCTTATTACCACTCCAGATTTGGAATGTATATTCACGCTAACTTCAACAATTGGAACTTGATAAACTTTAACAATTTTAAAATTCAGTACCATATGATAATTACGTAATTGTCATGAAGTTACTCTTTTTCTACTTAATTTCCTTTTACCTTTTTCAAAATAAAATTTAAAAATTTGGTGCATTCTGTATTTGCAATCAGCTGACATTGTTTACAGATAATTCTTTTATACACTGTATATGTAATTGCCATAGAATACCTGTTGGAATGTCCCAAAACCTGACCCAATCTTTGTTGTTGATTATCATTGAATTTCCCATATGAGGGCATATGACTTCTCCTAAGTGAGGAACAGGACTAAAATTTCTCACACAAGGCATGAGTCCTCCAGTTTCCTGCTGTAAATCAACAGCTACAAATTTGTTTGGATGATATTGTGGGGAAAAAGACCTTTTTTCTGATGAGGCTTTTATATTTTCCAACTCCTCTGGAACAACTTTTAGCCGAATACAAAGGTACCTTTCGCTCTGACTCAGGCAAATGTCCACAGTTTCAAACTTTATAACGGACTGAAGAGGAAATGACTTTCGAATCGTCTTTTGTTTCAAGTCCAAAACTGACACAAGGAGATATTTACCTTTCATTCCAAGCGTATATAATGTCATTGAGTTTGTTCCTTTTACAATGTCTAGAACATCTATTGGTAATTCAAAATCAGCACTTTCTGAATTCTGCAGGTTAAAGACCCTGAGTTCCCTGTTTTCACTAAGAACACAACACATTTCTTTTAAACACAAGATTTTCCTCGGCTTCATGTCGGTCGGGAATTCTTTCACTAAGCCTCCCCCATCAATTGTCCAGATTTTCAACAAACCGTTTCCATCTATGGTAATAAACTTGTCATCGTCAAAATGCAAAGCAATACAAGTGACTGAAGTGTGATCCAGTAACCGCTTAGCAGAGGAAATAAGTTTCTTTTCTTGTCCCTTCGGTAGACTCTCAAGTAAGTATTTCAAAGACCAAACCAACATTTTGTTCTTCCCGTGAGAAATCAGAAAATCGTCCAGCATGACTAGTTGTTGAACCTTGCCCTCATGGGCTTTAACACTAGCACAAGGGTTACCAGTCACACTATCATACAATGAAATGGTTCCGTCTTCTTCTCCTACAATCAAAACAAAGGATCCCCCACAAAGTGTAGCACAGGTCACTGGATTACTGACTGTTACCCTGAACAATGATTTTCTTTTTTCCAGATCAAGAGCAACAACAACGTTACATTCATCACCCCAACAACAAACTAAAGATGTCGATTCTGAACACGAAATGTACTTCAATCGATCTTGGATATCAATCGGTGTCCTGGTTTTTCCTTTGGAGAAATCGACACTTTCTATTGTACAGGTTGTCTCTCCTTTGTTACCCAAGACACTAAATAAGCATTCTGCTTTAGATAATCCCCAGCAGTTATTGCACAGCTGATAATCAAAATAGTATCGTTTTGGATATTTTGTCTCGTTGCTATAAACCAGAAGTTCACTGCCATTATGTGTTGCAAGTAGTACCAAAAGATGTTCGGTTTCTGTGCTGATCATATCTAGTACATCTGCTGTTTTGTCACTTAAAGACCATCTATTTATCTCTTCCAAGTTAACGATCTTCAGTTCTATAATGACTCCATTTTCAAATAGCACTGCCAAATAATTTGTATTTGCACTGATCCTTTTGCAAACCATACCCTGCTTGGAACCCCCTGTGCATAGATGTTGAAACTGTCTTTCAATTTGACATTTTTCTATCAAATTAAGACATGTCACAGAACCTGGTGAAGTATAGATTACATACTGACCATCACTGTCAACAATGGGTTGATGTTCTTCTCTTTTGATAAAGGGAACATCAACATCCATGAGTTCCTCAGCGTTTTCGAAATAAACTTTGTATGACGAATTAGCAACATCCTCATTTTGACTTGGTGAATCTTTCACCAAAACTGTCCCTTGACTAAAGGATACAATGTTGTCAATCCCAGTGAAGGTACTAGTGATAGCTTCTGAAAGATCTTTTCTAGGAGCCTGTCCTGGATGAAGTGGAATCAAAGTAGACGTACTTTGATTTTTCAGAAAATCTTCAGCCTTACTAAGAAGTTTTTGCAGAGAAATGTCTGCAGTATCAACAGAAACGTATTCCAGAAGACTGATTGCCAATCTCTTTGGTGAGATTACGTCGTTTGTTAATGAAACAAAGAAGTCCCTCAACTTTTTCAATTCCTGATCTTCTTGAAATTGAAGAAATTCATTCAGTTCACTAACAAAAACATCTGCTGAGAAGGCCGCTAATTTGTTGTAGATGAAATTAAAATTGCAGAAGCATTTATCTTTTGCAGTTCGCAATGACATAGAGGTTCTTGCATGAATAATATGATATGGAAGACAAAATAGCATTCTTTTGTTATGTTCTGATACAGGCTGCCCAGTCACTTGTCTGTCTGCATTTGAAATGGTCAATTTTCTCCTGGTTAATGTTATATCTCGTTTCACAGACGTCTCGCACATAAAAATTTCAGCTAAATTCCTTTGCAATACTTCCCCTTGTGCTCCTGATGAGTATTTGGCTTCTGCACTCTCAGTAAACTGTCTGTGATACCAGTTCATGGTGTATTTGTCTTGCGAGAGTCTTTCCACAAGGTATTCTCTAATATCGTATTTGATCCGAGCAACCAAAACAGGTGGTATTCTTACAATACCAGCTATTGGTGGATTGTGATAACGATAAACGTCATTTAAAGCTTCGTCATCACAGGATAAAACATCCTCCAACTCATTCTCTGAGATACCGTCTCTTACTATGGTGATGTAACCTAGCGCATGACCAGTGACAACGGGTCCAAATTTCACTTCAAGATTGTCAAAGAGCTTGTTTATTGCACCCTGAACTGTTTCTTGCAAAATCAAATGATGCTCTTCGGTGTATGATTTCCATTTCATTGCTTCGTCTACGCTTAATTTCAAGAAGAGGGGACTTGGGCATTTCAAAAATGCATTCATCAATACCTTTTCTTGGGTATGTAAAAGCGATCGATTCTGAAGTAATAGGTATTTCTCCATCATTTCTTTTCCTGTTTGAAGTGGAAGATCACTTATTTCTAAGTAATAGTTTGAATCTGGAGACAAAGCTCTTATACTCTCTAGAATCCCAAACTCATTTGGAAGTGTGGATATAATGATCTTTATATTCGGTGGTAGCGTCATTGGTAGCCACTTCATACTATGTGCATCGTATTCCCTTGACAGTTGATCTATGGAATCCAGCAGAATAATTACCGGCTTTTTCAAAGTGTTTGCAACCCTTCTGATGAACCGTGGGAAGTACTCTAACAAATTTTTCATTTTTTGGTAACCAATAGGTTCCATGCGTATCCCTGATACATCGGAAAGTTGTTTTACCAAATTTACCAATACATCATAGACATTCAGACAAAGTCCAGACGTTCCCAAAAATCGAATAATCCCCACAAAGTTGTCATCTTTTAGCCAGGTGCGCAAGTTTTTCATTATCATAGCCATTACTGATGTTTTGCCATTTCCAGATGGGGCGTGAACAACAAAGGGTTTGTTCATGCTGGTATTTAAAATGTAGTTTTTCGCTGTGTTCAAAATGGTTTCCTGTCCACAAAATGTTTTGCATTTTGTTTCGCAAAAATGAAGGTGGTGAAGAATTTCTGGAAACTGGCTCCGGAATTCTCTGCGGCGAATTTGTGATTTTCTTTTGTCAAGAGCATTATCAATCATTTGACTAAAATCATCGTAAAAATCCTTACAAAATTTCTTCAAGTACTCTTCATGTTCTTTACATATTTCTGGACCTATTCCTTGTGTATTCCAATCAATCTTATAAGTGTGACTGTGTCTAAGTTTTGTTTTTGTTTCCAATTTTTTCTTGAGTTCGTTTTGTAGCTTTCGTACTTCTGAGTTAACATTATTCTACAAAATGCACAAAAGAGATCTTATGATAAATAACCAAGAGAAAATGTTGAACAAAGACATATTTCGTTTCTTGAAAATTTAGGTAATGCAAAGGTTAAGGGTAAGAAAATTAGTTTTGCAGTAAAAATGTATCAATTTATGGTTGTTGTCTTTTTTGATTTTTCATAGACAAACCTATAGAATTTTAATTTGGTTTTTATTTTCTTTAAACTTCGTATGTTGCCATTGAGACAAGTTAAAAGACAGCTGTAGATGTTATACTGAAGAAGACAAAGTTCGCTTACAAATTTTAAAAGTACTTAAAAAATCTTCAATTTAGAATAAAAAGAGCTGGAAATATTAGTTTTGTTTGGTGTTGGAGAAATGCACCAGTTATAGCAGCACAAGTGAAATTGAGCAATGAGTCAAATTGTAACACTGAGACTTACAGAAACGAGCACTATGCTAGTGCAAGCCTCTATCAAACGGGGATGATTTAAAACTCTTGTAAGGAAAAATACCGAAATTCCACAATATTTTCAATATTGCATCTATATAAATAAATCTATATTAAAAAAAGTTATGTAAAATATGGGTTGTCCAGTCATAATAAATTAAGAAACTTAAAACATAATATGTTCAGTATCCTTTTTTGATGTGTAAAATGCAGAAAATCTTTGATTCATCACTTCAACGTTTAAAACTTCTCTCTACTTTAATTCTAAACTTAAAAATTAAGTACCTTCCCATTTTCTTTGACAGTGTCTATAAAGCGCATCGTCAAAGTGTCATCGAAGTCACTGAAGCCTGTAATTTCACGACAGAAGACTGCTGTTTGTGATGCTGGATCTTCAGACGACAGAATGCCCTTTTGGATTTCTATCTCTGTGACTAAAGAAGATAACAATATCTTTACCATGGTGCAAACATATCAAAAAATTGAAAACAAGATCTAGAATACAGGAGACTTGTGGGGTTCAACACTCCCATGAGACACTTTCCTACTCTGACAAATGAACAAGTCTCTGGACCCCTTTACTTATTGATGATCTGAAGTATTATCATGAAGTTTTCAACAATTCTGCTACAAACAATGTTGAATGATACCATGAAATATATGAAGATAACGAACAGTATTCAAGTTCAAAATTCCATTAAACAATACAAATTTTGGAGGAGAGCAAACACGGATCTCTAAAATATCAGAGGTGGGATCAGGTGCCATGGAGAAGCGAGCATCCACTGCCGACAGGTCACACCCGCCGTGTGCTCCTTGTTATGATCGGGAAATAACGGAAAAATCCGTCGACAATTCAGTGTGTAAATAATGGACAAATAATTAGTATGAAAAACGTCAGTCAGCATTTGACTTAATGATAAATTGTATTTGCTGACAAGGTCATTGTATCAACCATAGAACTTACGAAATGACAACTTTAAACGAGACTGTTGATATTCTTGTTTCATCAACTTGTTTGTCAATAATTTACCTCGTTTTAGAAATTGTTCATACGTAGAGCATGCTCTTGTGTATCGAATCAACTGAGAGATATAAACCCCATATGCAGGTGATGGAGGTATATTGCTGCATAAGTAAGGGAAGTTGATGATTGAAAAGTTAAAGTTGTCACATTTATCATAAAGCTTGGTTGTTAGATTACCATTAACGTCTTTTTCTAGTGAAATATCCAAATATGAAACAGATGTGTCACACTCTGTGGTATCTTTTATTTCAAGCTCACTGGGACATATCATATCGACATAAGAATGGAAATAATCATTGTTAACTGACAATACGTCGTTGATATATCTTAATGTCGAGTTGAAAGCCACAGCAAGTGCTTTCTTCTTTTCATGTATAAGATTTTGAACAAATTCTGCTTCATATGAATACAAATATAGGTCTGCTAATAATGGGGCGCAATTGGTACCCATGGGAATTCCAATAGATTGTTGGAAGACCTGGTCTCCAAAAACCACACAGAAATTGTCAATCAGAAACTCAAACATCTTTTTAATATCAACTTCAGAGTACTTGTGTGTACAATCAGAATATTTTTTAACAAAATAATTTAACAAATGACCAATGACAAGCTAAGTAAATTTAAGAGTTTCACTTTTATTGAAAAAGCAGCTGCCAATGATATCAAAAAGCCTGGACTTTAATTTATAGTGGGGAACCATACAATGTGGCAATTAAGGTTTACAATATAGGAAAGTGTAAAATCCTTACCCTGACCCATGGATATTCATGTAAACAAATTTGCATTTGCATAACTTATGGTGCTTGCATATAAATTTGTCCAAATAATGTAAACTACTGTTCTTAAGAAGATTTCAAAAGATTTATTTTTGCTTTACTTTAAATTCCCACATGAGAACATGACCTCTTACTGTGACTCTATCGCTGCCCCCATGGGTCATGATATTTTAACTTAAATTGCAAATTGCTAAATATGCAGATGCTTGCATAAATGTAGTAACTTCATCGAATGTCAAACTGTTATTCATGAATAGAAGTAAATCTTTGACCCCCTCCCCCCCCTTTTTTTTTATATCCAGCCTAGTCTCATAGACCTTTATTTCAAACAATAAAATTTATAACAGATGATTAAAGAAGACAGAAATATCCTCAAGTTAGTATTTGTCTCTGAACTTATTTTCCTTTGTACCCAGGTAACTAACAAAGATAAACAACACGTGGTCTATGACCTCTTATGTAAAATTTTCATGCAATAAATTCCTTACTACAGGATGCCACCAATCATATTCTAAAAGATAAACTAGCAACTGTAACAGGAATTTTAAAATTAGGATTTTTATGATGCTTTTCAACCTCCCCCCCCCCACCCCCAATTGGTCCAAAGGATAAAGATGAAAATTTTGCAACCCTATCTACAGGACATCATCAATCATATTTTGAAATATAATTTGGCTTCGGGCTTCTTTGTAAAATAATTTTTCTGGGAACCACCTTTTCAAAGAAAAAAGTTGTTTTTGATCCCCTATTGGCCCAAGGGGAAAAAATGAAAATTCTCAAACCTTATCATACATCTACGGAAGCCCATTTAGGACCTATTAAGAATATTTTTGAATTCGATATAACACAAAATTGAATTTGTTATATAACAAATTTAATTCGTTATAACAGTTTATTTGAATTCGTTATAACCAATTTAATCTGTTAAAACAAATTTGTTGAATTCATTATAACAAATTCCAAAATTGGTTATAACGAATTAAATTCGTTTAAACAAATTCTAAAATTTGTTATAACAAATTAAATTCGTTTAAACGAATTCTTAAATTTGTTATAACAAATTAAATTCGTTTGAACGAATTCTAAAATTTGTTACAACGAATTAAATTCGTTTAATCAAATTCAACAATCAGGGCCTGTAGAAAAATATATATGAATTCGATATAACGATTTGTCAAATTCGTTCTTACAAATTTAATTCGTTATAACAAATTAAAGAATTCATTTTAACGAATTTAATTCGTTATAACAAGTTTTAGAATTCGTTATCACGAATTTAATTCGTTATAACAAAATTTTCAATTCGTTATAACGAATTCAACAAATTTGTTATAACAGATTAAATTCGTTATAACGAATTCAAAGAAACTGTTATAACGAATTAAATTCGTTATAACAAACTTGAGAATTCGTTATATCGAATTCAAAAATATTTTTTGATAGGTCCTAAATGGGCTTCCGTATACATCTATGTAACATCACCAATTATTTTTTAAAAGAAAAAAAATTATTTTTGTGCATGTGTGCCTAATTTTTTACACAATCTTTTATGGAAAATTGTGTGTGATTCATTACCTGAGTAAAAATACTCATGCACCTGAGCCTCTGTAAATTTCTTGGAATGAAAAGCTTCTAGTGCTGCATCCCTCAACACTTTTTGTAAGCTGGTGAGGGTGGTGTTCCATTCTTTTGTATGTCTAGCACGATGTTCATCACATCCCGGGGAAAAGTCAGCAAAAAATGAAAACTGAGAGCTGATTGGCTGTAAATGAAACTATGCACAGTTATTTGGAGCATTTCCAAGGCAAGTATTCAAATTAAACTGATTCTCTGAGTTGAATATATAATACATATGCAAATACACATTCACTTCTTTATATATTTTGTTTGTAAGTGGCCATGTGCATTGAAAAAAATTGCCATAACTTCAAGTAAAACAATTTTCCCCATTTTTTTATCATAAACATATGTTCTCAAACAAATTAGAAATACCTGTAGAATATATTGTTGAGGTCTGCAATTTTCATCTAATTTATACCAAGTGTTGAGCAGTTTAATATCTAAATCTTTTGTTACGTATGATTGTATGACCTTGAAGTCATCTTGAAGTATCTCTGTAGGTATGGGCCGAAATCCATATCTATCTCCAATGATTGCCTGCTCATCAGAAACAAAATTAAAATTGAAAATGTGTTCAAAGAATCAAATTCAGTGAATTAACAAGATGAGATGAACATGTGTCATTTAGGATGCTCAATTACATGTTAATAATAAAGGAAGAGCACTTTGTTTAAATACCTTATACAATAAACTTCTGAAATCCCAATTTTTTTTTAAAAAGTTACCATTCAAATAAATATATATAGTATATGTATAAATAACAATCAGTGTTATCTTTTTTCTTGAATTTGCTAAATATATCAATCTTTATAAAAATAATTAAGTTTATTTTTTCCATCCCACCAAATTTCATCAAATACATGACTGTATTAGTTTGCAAACCTTTTATGTGCGAGTATGTTTTATGTTTCATGTACAATGATTGCTTAATATATTTCTGATATTTTACAGACAATCTACCACAAAGTTGGGTCCTAGTGACAACTTCTGACAGTTCTCTACTTCTTGAAGACAGATTTTCTCCACACTGTGGTCATTCTGAGAATCTTCTGTAATACCCCACCTCATATCCACCACCTGAAAATCTAGATCCTTGGACAAACATAGCTGTTTCAGCTTTGGAAAAACCTCACGGGATAAAATGTTTCTTTCTGCCCTCATGTCTACAAAAATGAAACATTGTATCTTTAATCAAAATTATTATACAATACAAAATCAAGATTGGAGGCCAGCACCATAGGGTAAAAATATGGAAGCATTCTGATGATTACTGCCACTGGTCAAAACAGGTAAACAAAATAAATTTACTTATACATTACTACAATGTGTTGGTGATCTGTTTATGTCTTTATATACATGTAAGTTCAAAATCATTATTGATAAGGCAATAAAAATTTGTAGAGTAGATTTGTACTAGTACATTTTGGGGTTGTATTGGAGAGAGAGAGAGGAAAAGAGAGAGAGATTACCTGAAAATGTTGAGCTGATAAAGATTCTGGCCACTGATCTTGGGAGGTTGGGGAGATTGTCCATGTTTCCCTGTAGCATTTGACGAAATTTGTCTTCTAAATCTTTGTTAAAATTCTCAGATTTACCTTCAAGTAGAAATCTTTGTATAAATTATGATGGATTATCTCAATGCTTATGTGTATCCAGGTAAATGTCCTAAATTTTTTTTAATGCAGTATTTAATATTCATAATCCAATTAAAAAGTATTGCACAATACTCTAGAAATATTCTGTGGTAAGTATACTTGTATATACATTCAATAAATTCATAAAATTCCATAAAATTTAAACTTTTTTGTCTTTTTTTTCCCACTTACTTTTCTGTTGATTTGTGACCACTGCCTTCTTAATGGAGGACCTATCAATATATAATTTAATACACAATTCCTAATCATTACAGAATCTCATTATCCATTTTAAACATTACATTTTTTTGCAATACATATAGCAATGTTTTTTTTCTTTCTTTTTCTTAACCAAGAAATTGCAGTCTTGATAAATCTCTGCTACAAATGTCTTTTGCTTTTTCTGAATTCAAAAAATTAACAGCCCTTTTTTCTTCCAAATTAGGAAATGAAATTCATTTGATGTATCAGATTTCTGAAATAAATATAAGAAATATATACTTTTGATTTCAAAATTTCTTTAGTTGGTGATAAGACAAAATATCCATTTTCAAGTTTAGCTTACCCCTTTTGTTGTAGTTTAACAGAATTAACATGGACATGCTTGACATTCTGCGACAAAAAAAAAATCACATTTAATTTACTATTTATTCAAAAGAAAGAAGTTATAAAACTTACATTCTTCAATTTAAACAACTATTATAAGTGCTGTGAAGCAAACTATTCTGTTAATACCTGGCAAGTATATTTCTCTAGCACCCTATATAGTAATCAATATTAATATCTGTCTTTTATTCAGGTATTAAATTTTGTACCTGTCTGGGGACATTAACTCTGTCTGCAAATGAGGACTGTCGCTTTGTTCCTTGGGAGGCCATTTTTTATGATTCACTCCTTCACTTTTAAGTGGTGAATTCTCAGGTTCACTTGCTAAAGAATATATCATTTTGAATATTTCACTCCAATATGGAATATTTGTATATGATAAAAGTAAATGTAAAATATGAAACCTTTACAGTTAGACTATACAGCATGCATACATAATTAATTGAGGTATAAGCAGATAAAAATGTTCAGGTCGTAACACATAAACCTGTGATCAAGTTAAGTAAATTCTATTAGTCGGAAAGTATATATACAATATATAACAGATAAATAAATCTTTGATGGTTCTTTAACCGACTTAAACAAATTTACATGAAAATAGAATTTTAGTAAAAATATACATAGTTAGTAATAGAAACATAAAATGAAACCATAAAAAATAAACTTTTAAAGGCTAAGAATAAGTATTCCCTATTAAGAAGTTGATGGCTCGTTTTAATACATGTACTCCCCCGCTTGAAAAAATACTGAGGTATCCCACATACTTACAAGGAATAGCACCATGATTGAATATGTTTCTCGTGAGCCCCGACAGCTTTAGACAAACAACCGCATTGTAATGATTGTTTACCTGAGAAACATTGTTTTTAAACTGGTTCTCTTTATAAAAAGTGCCAATCAAATCCGCTCGGAGAACCTCGAGTCCAATCGCAACTTCTCGGGCCTTTCCGACTAGCGGAAAAACCGACCTCGGCTGATTCCGTCGCCGTCAACAAACGTTTGATGAGGTATGAATCGGCTGAGGTGTGCCGAGTGAAACCGACCTCTTACGGAAAGACCCGAGATGATGCGATTGAAGCGGAGTCAGCCGAGGATTGCCGATTGCGCTCGTCTTTTCGGTTACGGAAATGGCCGAGTTAAGATTATTCAAGTGCTTGCACTCGGAAGGCAACATTCTAAGGGGTATTTCAAAATTTAAAGAAAGAAAACCGGGCTGCATTTAAAAAATATCATTTTTGGATATTGTCTGTCGTATAACAGCTTTTGATCGTGCAAACAAATTGAATACCGCGCGATATCGTGACTTTCAGGTGCACTGACCAACGACATCCTTAAATCAGAGACGTATAATAGATACGTCTCTGCTCAAATTAATATATATTTATAATAAAAAAGTTTCAATTAAACCCAGAATAAGTGAATAATATTAACTTTTTCTGGGTTTAATTGAAACTTTTTTATTTGCTATTGTGCTTATTCAATCTGCGGTAAATGGCTTAGAAAAGGTGAAACTAGCTGTAATTTCTTTCTAAAAGACAATTTAAAAAAAAAGATATAAGATTTTGTAAAATAAAAAAATAAAAAGAGAGAGAAAAGAGCTAACAACTAACGTGAAACAGACTTGTTTATTACATATATATATATATATATATATATATATATATATATATATATATATATATATATATATATATATATATATATATATATATATATATATATATATATATATATATATATGACATAGATGAAGAATTATTTGATTGTAAAGACCTAAAATATTTTTTGAAGTTTGATACTTTCCCTATTAGCGACGTGCCCTTTCGGTGGCGTCGGGCTTTTTATAAAAGTCGGAAGAGCACTAGAAAACCCCGTCTCTTGGGTAAACAAAACATACATGATGAACTGCTAGATGATATATGCAGAAGTAAGTTAAAGTGAAAAGGTGTGTCCTGCATAAGAAACGGATAGTTCATTATTGATTGAGTGCAAATAGATTGATAACCCGTAAACAAGACGGATCCTGAACCATTGTTTCGAATTTCCTCTAACTTTAACACATCATGTGTTCTGTTAGGAAATATTATATTACACACATGCATTGCAAAGTTGCCATTTAATAGAAATTTTCAATACGGATTCAATAAAAAATCTTATATTATTATAATATTACATTAAAACTCACGTTGTACAATTCATTTAACACCATTACTATATAATGGTATAATGGTTTGGGCTGCGAGTTTAATAGCAGCCCGGATAGATCAGTAGGTAGAGCACCTGACTAGTGATGCAGGGGTCATGGATTCAATTCCCGGTCCAGCTGTACATTTTCTTCTCTCCTGTTACATAATTCAGTGCCATTGACCACTCCTTGACTAGCAGGTGAAAGTCCTGCCAGGAGCAAAAAGACTAATTATGTAAAGGAAAAGAGAAAATGTAGGGCTACACTGGGAATCGAGCCCAGGACACCTGCATCAATACTTACTGAACTACTCACAGCCCAAACCATTTCTTTGGTATTGAAATATCATACATATGTAGATATTTTTTAACAAAGATATAATATTAAGGATGATTTTGTTAGTATAGGTGCATAAAAGTATCCAATCTCTATCCAGTGTTATTGTTCCACTTATACCTCTGTCAACGTCTAAAAAGTAGTATGGAAGGCGGAGACGCGTGGCATTTATCACAGGAAGATTAACAAGCGTATAACCTTCACTTTTCTGCATATGTGTCAATGCTGCAAGTTGTTTGTCTTTAAAACTAAACCATGTTGATATTTGTCGGCAATGCATTTTAAATTTTCCGCGTTCTTCATACCTGTCTACATGAGTGATGCAATATCCCCCCAAGAAATAATCCCTTGTAAGATACGGTGTTACAGATACATCTCTTTCTAATTTTCATACATAAACTTTTCTTTAAATTTTAAAGCTAAAATATATAACTTTAAAATTTATAATTTGTTATGCAATAGGTCAGGGTAAGTTTTGCCAAGAATCTTGGCATTTAGATGTTAACAGAGGTGTTGTAGCGAAGCGTAATACGCCCTCTGGTGAGAGATTGAAAAGTATCAGGGTTGCAAGACAATATCATTTTAATGATAGTTAGAGTACATTATTACTTTATCTGCAGTATTTTAATACAATAAGATACACTGTATCAAGTTGATGCTTTTATTGATATGTAATATATGCATGCTTCATTAATAAATAAGTGACTCAAAGTATTTTTGTAGGTATAGCTTGGGAAACTAGTTCTGCATAATTATGCAAAGGGGAGGTAAGATTTATCTTTTACACACATCACCATGGAATGAACTGTTAAAAATTATACTTTAATCCCTCCATACTGTAAACACATCTAATTGATGGGTTGTTTGTGCTATTAGTGACAGTTAATATTGCACAATTACACGGTATTGCTGTTTTTGAGATCAATACATAATTTAGCCACACTCAAAGTACAATCTTCACCTTACCCTTTGGGCTGGGTAAATATTGCACTCCTTTGGTGGCCAAATTATTGTATTGACTTCAGAAAAAACAGCAATGATTATTATTTTTTATGATTTGATGCTTAAATGAAACAAACTCGTGAAGCAAACCATGAAACCTTTCTTGATAGTTTACATAAATTTTGCTGAAGTCCTAGCAAAACACAAGGAGAAAAACCTGGTCAAAATAAACATAACCAGTTGTCTTAAAGGGGCTGGGAGACACATATTTGAAGGTCATATTTTCTAAAATTTTCTAATTAATAATATTATGACTTATATGTTGCTAGAGCATTTCACCCTGAAATATACTGAATTGAGTGTGTAAAGAAAATTCTTTTATCTGAAAATTATTTAACTACAATTTTCAGTTTGCTTTTGATTGACACATATCCTTGCACTTCAGCAAAGTAAACTTTATCCATAATACTTATAAAAGTTGAAATTTTGTTGTGTATTAATGAAAAATATGAAAACTATAATCCAGAAAGTTCAGAGCAGAAATGCAAGAAAGCAAAACCAACTCACCAGTATTGTCAGTCCGTGCTCAGTGATGTGTGCAGACTAAATACTGAATAATTGAACACACCAGTTAAAATGTAAATACTAAAAATAACAGAGCTCATGTTATGTTCACTTGAGTGGAAGTTGTGAATTTTTTCATAACTTATTCAATTATATAAATTAAGATGTTCTCAGTCAATCTTTAGTCTAGTGTAAATTCTTCTGTTAATTCTCTTGAAGGTGAATATAACATATAGTATTTTTCCTACAATTTTTTGATCTCATTCAATCAGAAAAATTGGAATTATTTAATCATCTAATAATCAAATTATTAGTATTATTTTAATTTTTTCCTGAATAATTTAAGTTATTTTTCTCTGTTTTTGTTCATTAGAATGTGAGTTACTGTATACAGGGTTATTTTTGCCCCATGTTATTTTGCCCTTTCACACTTACATTTTGTCATATTATTTTATATTATTTTATATAGTATATATATAATTAATATTATTAGCTTCTTGTTTGTTTTTATTTCATCTTGTTTGATACTATAGCTAAATTTATTTTACATACTGCATGTATGAAAGTTTTACATGTACCTCCCTTTGATCTCTAAATTGTCAAATTCATTTTCTTGCTTCTTATTTGAAAGCCAAATCAAACAAACCAGGACCTGCAAGACAGTCATCCTTTACACTTGTGAGTACCATCTTTGTATCATTACTTTATTTCATTTCAAAGTGTATTTAAAAGTGTATCTTTGTTTTAATAATTTAGATTTCTTTTGAAGAAATTCTTTTTGATTAAATAGAGGCATATTTGGATTTAAAAAAAGGTTAAACTACAATCATCTTTGGAGTGTTATATTTTATAATGTTTAAAAATTGCTTATATATTCTGTACATAAAAAACCCTTTTTAAAAATAATAATCAATTTTTTTATAAAGTAAACTTGAAGAAATATTTGACTAATCCTGGATTCTTTTCATTTTATACCATGAAATCACTAATTTTCATGGGGTTTAATTTTCACTGTTTTCGAGGTATTGAGATGCCCATGAATTCATGTCCACCATGAAATGTAAAATCTCACATACCTTAATACTTCTCCAACCATGAAATTAAATCCCCTCAATCCAATATTTGTTTCTCAAACTTCAAATATTTCAGCCCTTCCCTACAGTTAACATGTATTTAACTGTAAGTCTAACAAAGTTAATGCCTGTTTAAAGCCCAACTATTTATAAAAAAAAAAAAAAAAAAAACTGTAATACATGTAAACTGTAGTACCATATTTGAATGAGTCAAATCAGCTCCCAACAAAACAGACCTGTAGCAAGGGTTTCAAAAGTGGGGAAATTGACAAGCAAAATAAAAAAAACTAAACCCACAAAAAAGGGGGACCTATTTCCCAAAATAATCTGATAACCAAAAAAAAAAAAAATAAATAAATAAATAAATAAATAAATTAAAAAAATTTCAGAAGCCCATTTAGGACCTATCAAAAAATATTTTCATATTATCAAAAAACAGTTTTAAAAACCCTTTTACTGCCAACCTTAAATCATATTTTTGCATCTCTCCCAAATCCCTCTGAAATACAAATAAAAGAATTAGAAAAGATTTTCTATACATTTGTAATGGGTAGTAATAATTCAAGACTGAAAAGGAAAATTTGTATAATGAATTATAAGGAAGGGGGCTTCAAGATGATCAGTGTAAGAGAGTTCATTATGTCCTTAAAACTAGTATGGATGAAAAAATTGTTACTACAGGACAATGGGTTGGATTCTTTTTTAGATGTTGACATTAAAAAACTTGTATACTGTGGGCAAGAGTATGTTGTCAAAAAAAAAGAATGATTTAAAAAATATATTTTGGAGGGATGTGTTGCAAGCATGGTTAAGCTTTTGTGACAAATCATTACAAAATGACACACTTTTTTCTTTAGAACCATTATTTCTAAACAAAAATTTAATTATTAATAAAAAGCCATTTTTCTATAGGAGATGGTTTTCATGTAATATTTCATGTATTAGTGATATACTTTATGAAGATGGGTCATTTATGAGTTTGAATGACCTGAATGCGAAATATGGGATAAAAACACATTTTCTTGAATATAATGGCCTTAAAGCAGCAATATTAGAATGGCTGAGAAAGATAAACAGAGATCCTAATAATTTGTTAAAGGTAACTTATCCATACATTCCAGAGAATGTTAATTCTCTGCTGAATGCCAAAAAATCACATGATTTTTATTAAATATTAATCAGACAAATAATTGAACCTTTGGGTAAAACCTCTTGGAATAGAGTCTTTGACTTGAGCAATGGTGAATGGGAGAAATTTTTTTTACTCCCATTCAAAATTACAAAAAACACAAAACTTCAGTGGTTCCAATTTAGAATAAATCATAAAATACTAGCAACAAATTCCTTCCTGCATAAAATTAATAAAATTGACAGTAATATATGTACTCTTTGTAAAATAGAAACTGAAACAATTGAACACCTGTTGTGGGAATGTGAACATGTTCAGGCTCTTTTAGAGAATTTTGCAAAGTACTGTTTTGATAGAATCCACTCTACTATAACTTTCTCAAAAAGGAATTTTTACTAGCCTCTGTGAAGAAAACTGACAAGCTTAAAAATATTATTGCTCTACAAATCAAATATTACATTTATCTGTACAAATGTACAAACAGAAACATTTCCTTAGGTCGGTTGATATCCTTTATTAAGACAATGTATGAACTACAAAAATATATATCTTATAAAAATAATGAAAGAGAATCTTTTGATGAAAGCTGGAGACTTTTGAAAGACTTATTTTCATAATCCTCTCTCTCCCCCCTCTCTCTTTCTCCCCCCCTCTCTCCCTCTCTTTCTCTCTCTCTCATTGTTCTTTTTTGTAAAAGAAACCTTTGAAAATGCAATAAACTATTAAAAAAAAATAAATTTTTTTTGAATTTGATATAACGAACTGTCAAATTTGTTATAATTCGTTGGAACAATTTCCTTGAATTTGGTATAACAAATCAAATTCATTGAAACAAACTCTAAAATTTGATTTAATAAATTAAATTCATTTAAACAAATTCTAGAATTTGTTATTAAGAATTAAATTCGTAAACAAATTCACCAATCAGGGCCTGTAGAAAAATAAATATGCATTCAAGGTAATGATTAGTCGAATTCCTTTAAACAATTTAATTCATTATAACAAATTAAAGAATTCAATTTAACAAATTTAATTCGTTCAATTTCTTTAAATTCTTATAACGGATCTAATTTGTTTTAATAAAATTTTGAATTCGTTATAACGAATTCAACAAATTTGTTATAACGAATAAAATTTGACAATTCGTTATATCGAATTCAAAAATATTTTTGATAGGTCCTAAATGGGCTTCCGTAAAAAAAAATAAAAAATAAAAAAGCTAATTAACTGTCCAAATCATGGAATTTGCCAGTGCTCGTTCTTACAGGAATAAAAATTGGGGGGGGGGGGGGGGGGACCAGCATCTAAAGCAAAATTTACTATAGCAAAATATCAATAAAATTCATTTTAACAAATTTGACAATTCGTTATATCAAATTCAAAAATATTTTTGATAGGTCCTAAATGGGCTTCTGTAAAAAACAAAATTTAAAATACTAATTTATATCTGTCCAAATCATGGAATTTGATAGTGCTTGTTCTTACAGGAACAAAAAGGTTGGGGGGCAAAATGCTATCCCCCCATTCTACGGGCCTGCAAAATTGTGCAATTCTAACAAATCACAAAAATTAGACCTGGTAAATAAAACAAAGTTTTTCGAATGAAGGATGCATTGGGTGCTCTAACACCCCCCTCCCATTCCCCATCATTAACACAAATTTAAAAAAATATTATTTTGAAACAAAATAAATTCATTATTCATCTCGTAATAATGCTAGATTTTGTTTTTGAAAGAATGACTTCCAGAATATATGACAAAACCACTAAAATTGTACTCCTAGACCTTATTAAAAATCAAGACTTTCCTCAGCACCCCCTTTCCAGAAACCTAGTGACAACCTTGCAAACATTTCCACACTTGGACGGTTTATAGCAAAAATTAATATTTTTTCTATCATTTTAGGAAGCAGGAAATAAACCCTTTGCACCTAGAAGTGCAGTGTTGCAGAAAGGAAAAGCCAATCCGTATGTGTCTTTGATATCAACATTGTATCAATTTAAAAAAAAAGTTTTTTTAAGTTTAGGGGATTTGGCAATATATAAAAAAGACTTTATGCAAAGAGATCAGAGGCTAAGGTCATTCCTTTGAAAAGATCAAAGGCCAATGGAATTTTCTATTGGGAATATCTTGACTCCATAATGGAGAAATTATGATTTAGTAGATTATCACTATCAAGTTTTAAAAGTATGTATACATGAACTCAAGATGGAATTTCTTAAAATATCCAAGATATCTTCAAAATGTGCAGGTAGTTTTATTTTCAAGGTTATTTCATCTTTTTTACTGTCACACTCTATAAGTTTTCATTGCAGGTAATATTTTCTATTTTCATTTGACAGATTCCATATCAAATCGCAAAAAGAAAATACAGCTAATGTCAAAAGTGAGTCACAGGTTTCTCTGATAACAGAATCAACTAGTTGATACTCTTATATCTACCGCCAAGTCAGTGATTCCTATCAATATTAACAATTATGAAAAAATCACCTTCTTTTCATCAGCAATTTTTGAGTATAGAACTTAAAAGTGTTACAAAACCTCAGTGGTATTCTTGTGTAGACTGTCTGCATTTTTTACTGAAATGATAATCAAAAACAAGACCCTAATCCTTCTCATTTTGCTGTCTTTTATTGGTTTCATTGAGATAAACTATGTCTATTAAAAATCTGAGCATAAGTTTGTGATGTAATTAGCATTAAAGTATATAAAAGGAAAAGGATACTAAATACTATGTACCAACTGTCACTGTTACCGATAGTTGGGATCTTTTAATTAGTACGTAAAAGTCTGGTTGTTGATACTTAAAATAAAATTCTTGATATTCAACAAAACATAGCAATTCAACTGTTAAGAGACACAATGGTATATTCTTTTTTTAACACAGTGAAATGAGAATACTGTAACACATATTTAAGAGAATTTATATTCTTATCCATTGTATTTGATCTGATTTGATATACTGAGTCTTAGGTCAGAACCATGCAATATTGCAGCAAAACCCAGATCTATTTTTATGATTTTAAGGTGTAGACCATAATGAGAAACACCTGGAATTAGGGTTGGGACGATATATTAAGATATCGATAATATCGATTCTGTGTGAGGACGATACACATATCGATACGTATGAAGACATATCAAAATATCGCAAAAAAATTCCGACTTATGTTTTTTGTTGTTTACTTAACATTTTTGGTTTAATTTATAATATAAATATGCTAAATATGAAATACATAATAATTAACACCACTTGTGGAAAATAATTTTGTTTTACAACAGATATCCAACTTCTTTGAATAAATTATTCTTGTTTTTGAAGAAATGTTTAATTCATTTCAATACAAAAAAAGACATTTTATATCCAATTCAACATACATATCGTATCGTGGCTCAATATCAATATCATGATACGTATCGATATAGAAAAAGTTGTAACATCCCAGCGCTACCTGGAATGTATATAATGTGACCCCCCTCCCCCTTTGAAAACAGGGAAAATACTACACCTATGATGATGATTTTCATCATTATTTTTTTTTGGCATTTAGTAAATGCTTCATTTAAAAGAAACCTTTAAGAGTGTCCTCATGAAAACTTAATTATCTGCAATCAACTGCCCTTCTGATTCTTGGATTAACTACAGTTGTACTCAAGTATCTCAAACACTGATATCTCAAATACCATGGATATGTCGGAGTGTTTTAGAAGTCCCAACCTCATATTCTTTAAGTATTTCACCCTGGATATCTTGAATCCTCAGATATCTTGAAGTTTTTTCTTGGTCACATTGAGTTCGAGAGGTTTGACTGTATATGCCCTTTTTAAGTCTAGAAAATAAAACTCAGTTTCAAAAAACAGTTTAAAGAGCTTGTGCCTAAAAGAACTGGCCTGGCTCCAAATAATTAGCATTAGCGTGTAAATCGTTTTTGCCAGGAGCCAACTGGCACCTAAATTATAAAGGTCACTTTTAGGCCTGCAGGCATCAATTTGGCTATTCCAATGAAGTCTTCCTAAGCAATTCTATTGTCAGGAAGAATCAAATAAATGTCCCATAAGTCAGATATGTGAAGTCTTATGGACTACATTATCCATACATTTTATAGATGATGGAAAACAAGATCAGAATTGTGCCAAAGAAACAGAGGCCATATTTGACAAGATGCTGCAAGGGAAGATTGATAATCTTCCTCATCTTCCAAGATCAGTTGTCAGAATATTTATCAGCTCAACATTTTCAGGTAAGAAAAAAAATCTGTTTGTATTTTAATGATGTGAAATGTGTAGATTTGTATTCTGTAAAATAGTGTATATTTATTGTAACAGTTGAAATCAAATTTTAAATTTATTTTCTGTATTTCAAATAGATAATTCACTTCATTATTAAATCTCTTTCATATCATGTGATTCTTAGACATGAGGGCAGAGAGGAACATCTTGTCCCATGAGGTTTTTCCAAAGCTAAAACAGCTATGTTTGTCCAAGGACCTAGATTTTCAGGTGGTGGATATGAGGTGGGGTGTTACAGAAGATTCCCAGAATGACCACAGTGTGGAGAAAATCTGTCTTCAAGAAGTAGAGAACTGTCAGAAGTTGTCACTAGGACCCAACTTTGTGGTATGTGTACAATATTAGTCTAAAGTCTCTGCATTAAAATTCATGCATCCAGTAGTACTCAACATCAGATTTCTACATATCAACACTAGCTTTTATTTCACAGAGAGAATAGAAGGTACAATAGGACTCCCTGTTGACCCCCAAACCTTGATAACATTAAACCTGCCATTGTTCTATGGTATAACTTGAAAGTCATATATGGCATATTTTTGATATTAAGTTCAGACTACTAGTAACTAAAATTAAAAAGATCTTTCTATTTTTTTTTTATTACTGTATATAAAGATAGGACTTTCCTGTAAATTACACACTTTAAATCACATTTCATAGATATTAGAAATTGAAAACAATAACCAATTTATTTACCGACTCAGCTTTTAAATATCAGACACAGTGTAAAGTCAATTTAACTATAGAAACTGAGATTATTCAAGTTCAAAATCGGTGAACATTTTAATTTGAACGTAAATAACAAATATCATGTTCATCTACACTCAATCTCGTATTTTTATTTTTTTTTTTAGCTCAGATACGCCATATATAACTTTGAACAAATAAAAAAGTAAATGCAAATCAATATTCTAAAATGCTACAGGACCTTTTTGTTATTACCGGAAGTTTAAAAAATAGCATATTCCTTGTGTTTTTAGAGAGAAAAAACATGAAAAGGGCCCAATTTACATCGTTTTTTTCATAAGAAATATGTGTGCACATGCTTCCAGCTGCAACAAGTTTTTGTACACTGTCATGTCATTTCATGATGTGAACAAGAATATCTTTGTTCTTAACTAATTTCCCTACTGGAAATCTAACACATTTTGATTTTGCATCATTTGCAATCATTTTTTGTACAACTGTACTTATGGTAAAATCAATGCTTATTGTTCGTATTTGAATATTCTATTTTTCAACAAACAGAATTCATATTCACTCCAATAGTAAAAGATACATATAATTAAACCAATAAAGGTCAAGGTTATTGTGACAGCTAGGTTTAAAACTGACTTGATATCTCACACAATGTTTTTCACAAAGTTAAAGTACATTGATATCGACTCAAGGTAGTATTTCAAAGGTGATCATTGAGTTACATTTTGTCAATATTTTTTAAAATTATTTTTAATTAAATTATTAAATGGGTTCATCTGTCTGTCTGCCCATTTGTGTGTAACACTTATTTCCAGACAGTATCTCAAAAAACCTTTGAGTTTTTGCAATGAAATTTAATTTCACAACCCCCTACGCCTTAAAAAGACCCCATTGATATTTGAGATCAAAGGTCAAAGGTTAATGTGAGAAACTTATACACTCCAAAAATAGTGATAACTTTAGTTCTCTTTGAGCTTTCTCAATAAAGTTATATATCATAATGCCTAGTGACTTAACAAAGAATCCAATTTATCTTTAGGACAAAAGGTCAAAGGTGAAGGTTAAAAATTCATACAAAAAAAAAAGGTTTTTTCGATAATAACTTAAGTTTTCCATGAACTTTTCCTATGAAATTTTATATAATAGGTCCCAATGACTTAAAGACCCCTTTTTATATTTTGGGTCAAAAATTCATATTTTGCATAAAATGGCTTCTTGGTGATAACTCTAGTTCTCTTTGAGGCTTAGCAATGAAATTTAAACCTTTAGTCAATATGACATAAAAATTCGCCTATTGATTTTGAGGTCAAAAGCTCAAAGACCAATTTCAGTAATTGATGATTACTTTAGTTCTCTGTAAGCTTTTGCAATGAAACTTAAGGTCATGGATTTGTTTAACCTTAAAAAAGACACCTATTGACTTTAAGGCCAGAAGCTTAAAAGTCAAGTTTGACTTTTTTTCTTCTCCGTGTGCATATTTTTTTTCATTTCTTCCATCCTCTTTTTTTCTCTCATGTAAGGAATACAAAGTCTCTGAATTAGCTTGTTTAAGCTACAAATGAAATCATTAGAGTAGTTGTTCATGTAAAATTAGTGTGACAGTGTATTTTTATTCGTTTGTTTAAATTGGGATCAGTGTATTTAACTTAATAATTCTTTGAAGAAGAGTATCCTTTATCATCCATTAGTTGTATTAAATTACCAATAAATGAACTAAATTACTTGATTGAACAAAGTGATTCTCTAATGGTTAGGTAAAAAGCATAGAAAAATTGATGCAAAATGATAATTTTCATTCATCTTTGTCCTATTACTCATATCTCATAGGCCATCATGGGTGACAGATATGGCTTCCGCCCAATTCCCACGGAAATCAGTGAGGAGATTTTTCAGACTCTGAGAGAATCGGCTGAGAGGATTGCTAAAAAACCCCATGCTGTCAAACTTCTTGAGACATGGTACAAACTAGATGAGAATTGCTTGCCTCCAATGTATATACTTCAGGTACTTCCTACTTTGTGAAAATGTTGCAAGTAATGTACTGATATGCAATATTGTTCACTTTCATAAAAATTCCATTTCCATGTAGTTTATGTATCTATTTATATTATCTGTGCTTACCCTCTAGATTCATAACAATTATATATACTTTTAAAAGTAATTTGATGTTTTCTCTATAGATCTTTAAATATATTTTGAATTTTAAAATTGTTTTCAGCCAATCAGATCTCAGTTTTCATTCTTTGGGGACTACTCACCAGGATGTGATGAACCTCGAGCTAAACATACTCAGGAGTGGGAGAAAACATTTGCAGATTTGAGGGACATTCTGAAAGTTGCTGCTTTGTTTTCACATCAAGCAAAAAAACTAACAGATAATCAACTGCATGAATTCTACATGTCAGGTATATATCATGATTAGATTTTAAAGGCAGAGAAAATAAGCACCTGCTTCAAATTTGCCTGGTCTATGGACCCCAGTCAATCAAGCAAATTAAGGTCCAGGATTGATCACCAGAAATCAAGTGACGTTTAGTTCCTAATCTCCGTGTATATCTTGTATACCCCTGGGTACCTTGTCTGGGGCTTGTTTCCATCGTCAAATTAATTTTCGGTCTTTTGCTGATTACCACATATACCAGTGTGACAAAGACACTATTGATATGAAAATTAACGGCTTGGCATAAACGGTCACTGTAGTATGTAAAATCATTTTGTATAATAATACAATTAATGATAATAAATCATGCTTATAATTTTTTAAAGCAAATTTCGATTCAAATTATAATTGATCCTTATGGTTGTCTTAACCACACGTACACATCGATTTTAAGCCAAACTGAAAGTGCTGACACTCAATAAAACCATCATTATCATATTTTTATTATTTGTAATTAAGATTTTATTCGATAGAAAATGTAGAGGCGTCACTTTAAATTTCTCCAAGACATGGTGAAAAAATTGCTATAAACTAATCAGTGGCCAAAACGACCGTAATACGCAAGAACATGAGAATGTCAATAAATATGCTTTTGATGACAATATACATGAACATAAAATCTTTAGCTATGTGCAAGGCATAAGAAATATCAATCTATGTTTAAATAAATATTAGATTAGAATTAAGATTTAAAAAGTCTGAATAAGAAAGCCTTTTATATGAAGTAAATTATTCTCAAATCTTTCATTTAAAGTGACAGAGATAGAGATTGAAAAGGGAATTTTAGAGGCAAAATCTCCAGGCCAGAGTGCTGTTGTATTCCATCGAGAAATCCAAGGTTTTACAAACTATGAAGACAGAATGACAAAACGACACATTGACACCACTGTTGAGAATGAAAAGGTAGCTAAATCAGGGATCCACATGGGATTTTTTTTTTTAAAGAAAAGGAGTGTGAACAATATGAAAGTTGGGGGAGTAAATTGAATTTCGTTGATTAAAAAAAACATTATTACACTTTAAAAAGGTTGAAGCTAGGTGTTTACATTTTTGGGATGAGAACGAAGTTATGAAACGCATTACTATTCTGTATTAATTTTATGGGCAAAACATATGCAAGAAATCCACAAGCATTGGACCTTGAAGAATTTGTAGAAAAAAAATTAAGTGATAAATGATCAAGAAATATTTGCACCCAATGAATTAAAGTTGGGTAGGATGAAAAATAAATGTATCTTTTGAAAATGTATATGTTTTAGGCTGTTCCTGATAAAGAAGTCAAGTATCTTCAAGGAAAATTGGAGGAAAAAGTGAGGCAAAAAATTGAGCCAAATTATTTCCATGAATACACTGTAAAGTGGTTGCCAAATGGCATTGACCCCAAAGCATCGGAAGACCACAAAAAATACCTTGACAATTTCTGTGAGGACTTCTACAATGATTTAAAAAGCCAGATAGAAGCTGCTGATGATGAGCGAGATTCTCGGGCAAAAGTTTTTCATAAAATTGGCTATTACAGTGATTACAACGAGGTACTCCATCACTTGCATTTCTGTGACATGAAATGCCAGACATTCTGTGGACAGGAGAACATTATGGACAGGGTTAAAAAGTACATTTTGGATGGTACAGTGAGAAAGCCTTTTGTCATCTATGCTCCCTCTGGAAATGGAAAGACATCTGTAATGGCTATGATCATGCAGAGCCTGCCTGAGTGGTTCAAGAATAAACCACACATTAGAATTATCCGCTTCTTGGGCACTTCTGCTCTGACTCTGAATATTTATGATGTGCTGTTTAGTGTGTGTGGACAACTTGCTGATGTTGCACAGCAGATCATGGAACCTGTAGGATACAAAAGTATGAAGAATATCCAAGAATACATGCCCAGGTTTTGGCGAAGGATAGGAAATTCTGTAAAGAAGCCAATTGTTATTCTTTTGGATTCTCTTGATCAGCTTTCGCCTACACACCATGCTTATGAACTACAATGGTTGCCAACTACACTGCCACAGAATATCAAACTTGTGGTGTCCACCCTTCCCAAGGAACATGGGATACTTGATAACTTGAGAGCTTTGCTACCAGATGAGAAATGTTATGTGGAAATTCCCAAGCTTCCCCGAGAAACTGGTGTTGCAATTATAAACAAATTTCTGTCAAAGCACAAGAAAAAAATAACAGAGAGACAAGAAAAGGTTTTGATAAACAGCTTTTCAAAATGTCCTGGACCTTTGTTCCTTAAACTCATTCTAGATGAGGCACTGAAATGGAGATCTTATACTCTGCCTCATTTGGTAGAACTAGAGCAGACAGTTCAAGGAGCCATTAATAAACTCTTTGACAATCTTGAGATTAAATTTGGCAAGATCATTACCAGTCATGCGCTAGGTTACATCACCATAGCAAGAGACGGTATCTCTGAAAATGAGCTGGAGGATGTTTTGTCATGTGATGATGAAGCTTTAGATGATGTTTATCGTTACCACAACCCACCAGTAGAGGGCATTGTTAGAATACCGCCTGTTCTGGCTGCTAGGATAAGATATGACATAAAGGACTACATTGTGGAGAGAATGTCTTCTGACAAGTATACCATGAACTGGTACCACAGGCAATTTATTGAAACAGCTAAAAGCAGGTATGCTACAGGATCACTTGGGGAAAAGCTGCATCGGAATTTGGTAGAGATTTTTATGTATGAAGATGGAGTAAAAAGGGACATAACTCTTTCAAGAAGAAAACTGACAGTCACAAATGCAGACAGACAGATTACCCCACAACCAGTTACCTGTAAAAACAAACGAATGTTGCGATGCCTTCCTTACCACATTATCCATGCTGGAAAGGCTCTGCCTGAACAATTAGCAAAAGAAAATTGTTTTTGTAATTTCAAATTCCTTGGTAGTAAATTATCTGCTGGCAGTGTGGAAACAATCGTGGATGAGTTGTATGAATACCTGGAAAACCAAGAAGATGAAGAAATCAAGAAACTCAGAAATTTTTTGTCCTTGACCAAGGCTGACTTATCAAAGCCCAGCAGACTTGCAGCCAATTTGCTGTCCTACATTAATGCTGATGTAGATGAGCCCTATCTTAAGAAGTTAAAAGAACAAGCAACCAGTTACTTAGAAAATCTTGACAGCCCTGGACTGATACCAGTTTATCCTGGACTGGCACCTAGGAAAGATCTCTCTTCATCTCTTATTCATTCTTACAATGGAATAGCTGAAATAATAAGCCACAGTGGAGATTCCGTTTTAGTCAAGACTTACAGGAAAGGAAATGAAGAGGAACAAGATTTTCCACATGAAATGTTCCACATTGGCACCCAAGACCTCCAGCAAGTAAATATTCCAGACATCAAACAGACAAAGCATTATCCAATCCTAGACAAAGCAGGGGAAAATGTCATCTATACCTCAGATGATTCCATCACTCTGTTTCACCTTGTTAGTGGGAACCGTGTCACCAAACTCTTCAGAGATATTACTGATGATCCATCTAAAAACCAAATGGTTTCCAAGGTGATGAGCACAGACACTCGTCATGTAGCTATTTTGTTAGATGACGGAGACGTTTTATTACTGGACAGTGACAGTCTGATGCAGGTTGATAGGTGGACTCTAAAAGATGAAGTGGAGGATGTTATGGGAATTCTGTGTACAAAAAGTGACAATCTACAGCTGCTAGTGGCTGTTAATTCAGAGTCTGCTGGTTCCAAAAAAAGTGAGCTCCAGCTGTACAAACCTGGAGAAAATGAACCAAAACATTATCTTTTTAATTATCCATTGTGTAATGGTCTTCTAGGGTTGTCATACAAGGAGTCTTACTTTACTGCTGTTGCAAAAGATGGAATCTCATCAAAAATTTTGACTGTTGACATAAACCAGGCAGAAGAAATGGCTCCAATTGCTATTGAAGATTGCATAGAAAAGATAGCATTTTCAAAATCTAAAGCATTTGCCTGTGTCTTGAACAGCACAGGTAAAGTGACTGCCCTGGATTTACAGAAGAGTGAGGTCTTATTCCACATGGTGACTGACAAACCAGTCACATACTTCGGAATTAGAGGCACATACTCCATTGTGCTTCTTGGTGATAATGAAGGACATGTTACACTATACAGTTCCAAAACAGGAATCAGCTATGGTAGTTTTCAAGCATATGGAGGGGCTGTGGAGAAAATGTATGTTTTGGATGATTACTTAGTTACTCAAGGTCAAAATGAGATGAAGGTATGGTCTTTGACTGAACTGCTGGAGGACCTCAGAGAGTCATTGAAGAAAAATATGGGATTACAATTTAAAGGGCTTTTGGCTCTGAAAACTGTGTGCAGTTTTGATATGCATCCAAATGGAATGGAGTTTGTGACAGCCTCAAAAGATCAAATGCTAAGGGTTTGGTTATTGAATGGGGCAAAATTTATGAAGGAGTTTGACATTGGTATGGAAGCTCAAAAGGTAGTCATCTGTGCAGATGATAAATGTTGTCTTCTGGACAACAAAGGGGAACTGAGAATTATTAGTTTGAACACAACCTGTGATGTAGCTATAGATTTGCCTAGTCATGTGATTGATTTTGTTGTTGGAAAAGATGGAGTTACTGTTTATACAATTGGACTAAAGCAAAAAGTCTTGATGATCACTGTATTGGACTTGAAACAAGGAACAACCAAAAAATCTTTTCCTCTTAAGGGTTCTCTGAAATTTGAGACTCTTTCCTTGTGTCTGAGTGCCAGTGAAAGATATTTATGTATATGCTGCAAGATTCTACCAGCAGAGTACAAAGAAATTGAAGCATCTTGGAAGAAGAAGGGCTCTTTTCTAGCTCAGGTTCACCCTCATAAGTTTATTTCTGTGGATTTACAACAGGCAACTGGTGGCCTGGTTACATGCATGAGAGAGCTCAGCACCATCCCAACTCTTGGAGAAGAAATATGTGCTAATTCGGGAAATGTAATGTTCATTACCACAAGAAGATGGGTCGTTTTCTGGGATATTCCCACAGGTAAATTCATGTAAGGTGTTTTAAAATAAGGTCTTAGAGCATTATTGCCAAAGGCATGTACATGTATACAAACAAAAGTTGAAACTGTGAGCTTTATTTGTTATCGATATGATAGTATTCCCCATGTTTCAAACATATTTTGTTTTAAATCAATTAAGCAATGTTTCACCTTGTATATATAAGTACAGCCTCTAAAAGTTATATACAAATAAAATATTAGATAAACAGATAAAATTTTATATTTACCATAAACGTTAGATTTATAAAGGAAATATTTTTTTTTTTCGTGAAAGTTTTTTAACATACCTTCTTCAGGAAAATGTGATCAGAGGGTTTGCAAGAACAGGAACTATAGCATGATGTACAGGCCTTGTTGGTTTGACAACCCTGATAATTGTAAAGGAACTTCAAAAGCAATGGTTCGCAGCAAAGATGGAAAGTTTTTGGCGATGGGTTCAGAAGATGGCTACTTGTGTATCTACAGCATAGGCTCAGGGTATCCCATTGGAGAGAAACTACCATCCACTAAACACTCTGCATCAGTTAGTATATTACAGTACTACTGTCAAAGTAAACATTGAAGTGTGATTTTTTTACAGGATATTAATTTTGGTAAAAGATTCAGAAAAGCAAAAAAAAAAAAATGATTATAGCATTTGAAAACCTAGTTGAAACGTCATAGCTTAGTGATTGTGAAATTGAAAACATTGTAAACATGGATTTCAAAAACATATTTGGAGATTATTTTCAGTTAGTCTCTGCCAGGCCTTTAGGTGGCTTTAATTCAACTGACAAAACGGGGTATTAAAAAAAAAAAGGTGTGGGAATTCTCACATGGGGTACCCAATTTTGCAAAAAAGAAGTTATAAATCAAATGATTTAAAATTACACTTTCTTTTCATTTCTATTTACATATAAACAAACTGCATTTCTATCATAGTTCATTCCGAAATTCCGTACCCATACTTCCTAAGATATGCTGAAATGAATTCAAAAAATTGACTTTTTTCTTAAGGCTTAGGCCACACTGTCACCGTAGTAGGAACGGATTGCAACAGATCAACCCCATTTTACAGACCGTATGAAATCATGATACTAATACGGTTTGTAGGCGCGAAAACAAACGAAACGGTTGTTTTCAGATTATTTAACAGTCCATCAAGGTTTCAACACGGTTTGCTTGTCACGCAACGAACACTGTAAAGGACAGTCACTGTATTTCGTGGTGATAAATTACTATGCAACGGTCTCACCAGGGATGACCAAGCTATAGCTACGACCAATTAAGCATAGTAAAGCTACAATTTCTCAAGGCGCGTACACGAACATGCCACAAATGACGAAAAATTTTCTAATACCTCGCTTTGCATTAGCAAGGAAAGAAAATGAGGAAATTACGTGATCGTAATATCAGCATCAACACAATTCAAAAATGCTGGTATATGTAAAGGAGAATCAATAAGAAATCGGATGTTCCTTTTTTAGCTCTACTGGTCAGAGACCAGAAGAGCTTATGCGATAGTAAGGTGTCCGTCGTCCGTCCGTCTGTCTGTCTGTCCGTCCGTCTGTAAACAATTTTTCAAAATGCTACCCCTCCTACAGTTTTGGTCTAATTTCAATATAACTTGGCACACAAGTAGAATACACTAAGATACATAATTCTGTGTATCGGTTTTTGATTTCAATGAATGATGTTGCCATGGTTACTAAAAATAGAAATTTCTGTGAAAAGCATTCAAAATGCTACATCTCCTACAGTTTTGATCTGATTTCAATATAACTTGGCACACAAGTAGACTATACTAAGATGCATAATTCTGTGTATCGGTTTTTGATTTCGATGAATGGTGTTGCCATGGTTACTAAAAATAGAAATTTCCTTGAAATACCTTCAAAATGCTACTCCTCCTACAGTTTTGATCTGATTTCAATATAACTTGGCACACAAGTAGACTATACTAAGATGCATAATTCTGTGTATCGGTTTTTTATTTCGATGAACGGTGTTGCCATGGTTACTAAAAATAGAAATTTCCTTGAAATACCTTCAAAATGCTACTCCTCCTACAGTTTTGATCTGATTTCAATGTAACTTGGCACACAAGTAGACTATACTAAGATGCATAATTCTGTGTATGGGTTTTTGATTTCGATGAACGGTGTTGCCATGGTTACTAAAAATAGAAATTTCCTTGAAATACCTTCAAAATGCTACTCCTCCTACAGTTTTGATCTGATTTCAATATAACTTGGCACACAAGTAGACTATACTAAGATGCATAATTCTGTGTATCGGTTTTTGATTTCGATGAATGGTGTTGCCATGGTTACTAAAAATAGAAATTTCCTTGAAATACCTTCAAAATGCTACTCCTCCTACAGTTTTGATCTGATTTCAATATAACTTGGCACACAAGTAGACTATACTAAGATGCATAATTCTGTGTATCGGTTTTTGATTTCGATGAATGGTGTTGCCATGGTTACTAAAAATAGAAATTTCCTTGAAATACCTTCAAAATGCTACTCCTCCTACAGTTTTGATCTGATTTCAATATAACTTGGCACACAAGTAGACTATACTAAGATGCATAATTCTGTGTATGGGTTTTTGATTTCGATGAATGGTGTTGCCATGGTTACTAAAAATAGAAATTTCTGTGAAATACTTTCAAAATGCTACTCCTCTTACAGTTTTGGTCTGATTTCAGTATAACTTGGCAAACAAGTAGACTACACTAAGATACATAATTCTTTACATTGATTTTCTGATTTCCATGAACATTGTTGCCATGGTTACTAAAAATAGAAATTTCCTTGAAATACCTTCAAAATTCTACCCCTACAGTTTTGGTCTGATTTTAGTATTACTTAGCACACAAGTAAACTACACTAAGATACATAATTCTCTGTATCAGTTTCGGATTTCGATGAACAGTGTTGCCATGGTTACTAAAAATAGAAATTTTCTTGAAATACTTTCAAAACGCTACTCCTCCTACACTTTTTGTCTGATTTCAGTATAATGTGGCATACAAGTAGACTACAGAGATACATAATTGGTGTTATTGTTTTTTGATTTTGTTGAATGATGTTGCCATGGTTACTTAAATCAAAATTTCTGTAAAATTGTTTTAAAAGGCTACTCCTCCTACAGTTTTAGTCTGATATAATAATAAATCTTGCCACAAAAGAGACTAAACCAAGGATCATTATTCTATTTATTGCTGTTGCAAAGTTTCAAGTCCAAGTGCTACTTTTATCTTCCTTTATAAATACAACCAGTAGAGCTACAGTCTCATCAGAGACTTCTGGTTAAATAAATAAAGACAGTTGAGTGGACCTATTTCTTTTCGGATAACTATTCTATTTGGGAAATACATGTTATTGTAGATGTATTCAAAAGTTATGAAAATTTATTCAATATTTATACAAACTAGAAAAAGAATCACATAATAATACGTTCTTTGTTATTTATTATATCATTTGCCTCTACCAAAATGTGGTTATATATCGAGGATCCTTATATGATTTTTCTGACCCAACATTCTGTGCTCTAGGTTACCAAAGTCTCTCTTAAGACTGTACAGTCAGATACAGGCCACATGATAGAAGCAAAATGTTGTCGTTCCATTGTAGTAAGACGACATTGGACCTGTTTACCAGAATTCAAAACGTGAGCCCAGGACAATTTTAAGTTGTAACTTTTCTCTTCGTCTGTCGTATGAGCCTTTGAAATGGTTTTATGAGCCAGGTCTTGAAGGAAAAACGGTCAACTACAACTATAGAGTATGGTGTCCTTGTCAGCTGGGAGGGGATTTGGTGCTGGGAATTCTAAAGTATCGATTTCAGTGACCTCTCCCAAGTCAGAGTCGTTATAATCCTGGGCATCTCCCGGTGAACCCTTGGTCCCAATGTCCATCCAAACAAACTTATAGTTTGCATCCATCTAGTGCTATCAAGACAACAAAAAGAGAAAGCGTTATAATTGTAGTAGAGAGACCAACTACTCTGGGGACATCTGATAATACAATGCAACATCCATCGCAACCCTGATCTATCTGCGATCGTTTTCCATTTTTCGAAGGTTGCTGGGTTGTCAATTACTTCTTCGTTGATGACTTCCAAAACCTAATGGATAAACAGAGAGACTGTGTCAAGAGAAACTCTGAAATCATACGCTAAAGTTGTCTTTTGATGCAAGATACAGCAAGGCTATAACTATTTTAATCCAGGAATCTATTCTAATTAAAAAATGTTCTTATAGGCTCCAAGATCTTCAATATCGCCTCTACAACCATTGCCTGACCCATACTTTTCTCTTTTTCCCCCTTTTTCCTTCGATAAAAATGCATGTGCCACGACAATTTAGTCATGTGCTTGCTGTGTGTTCAACTGTATTTGCAGATTCGGAATCCGAAACCTGTGCTCTTGGTCTAGTACAAATTCCATGAACAACTGTTACGACAAGCTAAAGCCAGATGGTGACGAAAACGTCTATTAAGCCCGTCTTCTTTCATTAATGTTCAGGGCCTCATCCGGAGCATCACTGTACATGGATAAAGTTCATATTCTTGTGATAAAGGGCTCTTGTATTTTTAAAAAACTAAATTAGGACAATCTCTCTGTTCAGTGTCATGTGTTTGCCGATTTAGACTTTGAAAGTCTCAAGTGAATCGGCATCCACGATATGCTGTGACAAGGAGTTCCAAAGGGAAGGGTTTTTTTTATCTCTAAAAAGTAAATAGTACATTCCGGGAAAATTTCGTTCCATCATAGCTCCTTTTACATTAGAACTTTGCTGTACAACTGTTGAAGCAGACGTTCTATAATGTTTTTACTCGAAATGAATAATTAGAGACTTAAACTTGCGATTTGGAGTGAAAATCAACTTAGAAATGTTGATAAATTTTGCACCTACTATACAGCCATTAGCTGCAGTTCAAACGAATGGCCAGGGTCCCATGCTAATTTCGAATAACGAAAAATAGGTCAATTTTGAAATTGATTTCAGAATATCAGGGAAGTATATGGTATTTATGTCACAAGAGTTTTCCGGACAAATGATGTACCTTTAAAGTAAGAAATATTTTGCAAAAAATGAGTTCAACAATTTGTATTATTCTCATAAATTATCAAAAATCAAAATTTTAAGTACTATGAACATCTCTGATATATGAACAATTGATCTGCAAAATAAAAAAGTTCCTAGATTGAAAATTGTAGGAGAAGTTATCCGGACAAATGATGTACCCTATATGCAATATTTTGGGGGGAAATGATTTTGAAAAATGACGAAGTTCAACAGCTGGTATCTTTCTCATGAATTATCAAAAATCAAAATCCAATCTATAATAGCACTTGGCCGTGCCGACAAATTGAATACCGCGCCTTAGCGCGTTATAAACTGACTTTCTTGAGTATAACTTTGTATATTTTGATCTTACCTGATATATCTGTTTAAAATTCCTAGGTGATAAAGGTTGCATTCTCCCCGGACTGTCAGTGGGTAGCATCTGCCTGTCAGAACAACACCATTAAGCTCTGGGACGTCTCCTCGGGTAAGGAGGTCTTCAGTACACGGGTAGATGCAGAAGTCCAACAGATGAACTTCTCCGCCAAATCCCAGTATCTGGTAGTCCTTACTGGGACAAACTTTACACGAGTACTGATCTACAGATTACACACAGGGAAGGAATAAACAAATCAGGACCTTGCTTTGACACCTGTTGCCAGCTCTTTACTTAGTGTTTAAAAAACAATGAAAGGAAATCTACTTCATCATTGTTTCCCCAGCACAATGATAGCACACTCTATTGTAAACTACTTTGGAAGTTTAAGGGACATGGTCAGTACTTCAAGGTGATGTAGCTCCAGATTCCTCAAGATTAATCTTACTTAAATAACAATTATCTGTTCTGATTTACAACAAACATGGCCATCATTTGACAACTCCAAGTTATGTTTGATTGTCTTTTGAAGTGGTACACAATTTTATATGAGCAATTTTTATTTATTTATTTCCATTGTGTGTTGTGAACAATTTTGCTCACACCATTTGCAATTGAATTTTGTCAACTTCGTTCTCTTTGTTTGATTATCTACAGAGATTTGTTTGAAATCCACTACAGTCTGTTCTATTTTTATAGATTTATGATAGTTTTCACTTCAGTGTCCTCTGATTCTTAATACATGTACACCATATATTTCTAAGACAGAGGCACATTATATACTGTGGATTCATTTTCTTGTTTTTCCTTTTTTTTTTTGTGAAAGGAAGACAGTCTGAATTTTGAAACATCTGCCTTCTTATTTTTTTAAATTATTGTTTGGAACTTTTGTTTTCAAGGATTTACATGTGGCATAAGGGTACAAACATAATCAGGAATTTGAAAACAACTATAAAGTAAGTAAGTAAGTAAATGGTTTATTACAGTGACATGTGTTATGTACAATTACAACAACTGTCAACAAATATACATATAAAAGGAATTTAAACACCCGGCCCATCAAGCCTATATGTCACTTTTAACGATATAACATTCAATAAGAATACTGTGATATTACGCATTGCGTTTATTATAAATAATAGACTTAAGTATATGCTGAGTATATGTGTATATATACACAAGATTATACAGGAAGATTATATAAATGTTGTATTTTGTTCAGTTTATACTGCTAAACATTTTATATTGTAATTTCATGTCTGTTAAATTTTCTGTAGAATTTTTTTTCTGTTATTTTTTCTATGAATTTATATGATACAAACAAGTCCTAATTAATATTCAGATATTTTTTTTATACTTATTCATAGACTGTATTCAAAAATTAATGCATCCAGTAATTAGGAAATCATATTTGGAACATGTAAGAGATTTAGGTATATCTAGATTTTATGATATCCATATTGCATTGTGATATATATGTATTCAATTCTTGATGAGAAGGAAAAAAGTATGCTCTTTTATTAATTTCTTTCTTAATAAATGATTAATTACTATTTAGTTTTTCCTTTAAAAAATATGTAAAGCCCTGAAAGATCTTGCTGTGGCAATTAAATTTATAAAAAGAAACTATTAATTGATTGTCATTTAAGAACCCTCTGTATACTGCACTCTGAGATATCTGATTCTGTTGTATTTTTCTATGCAGTTAGAGTAATCTTTCACTAGAACTAAAATAAAAAAAGTTGAAATCCACAATATTTTACTCTATTTTTTATGAATTCAAGCATTCTTAACATTTTAAAGGGCCAAGATAAATTAATGGAACACTATTGGCATGTATTTTCCCTACATAAGTGAACAATAGTGAATTCTGTTCATCAATACTTCATTGTCTTTAAACATTTTTCCTGGGGGTTAATGGAATGTACGTGTACGTCCCCTTTGTTGAAAATCAGATGGATAAGCTCATTATCTACACCCTTTCAATATAATTTTCTTAATATCTTAAATAAAACATTTTGCTTAACTGTATAGAGGGTCGTAAAAATGAAAGAAATTAGAAATATATATTCAATTTAATACAATTTGTTTTCTGACAAGAAATCAACATGTCTGAATGACATATGCAGTGGACTTTACTGCGTATTCACTGTAACTGCATTTTACAGATTGCTGAAAATATGGCATTATAAAGAATCAGTTTCGTAGGTATAAGAGATATTAAACTGGAGATCACCATGTGTTAACGTATGGTGTATCACGATTTTAGTTATGGCACCAGATCCTACCTCTGATGTATTTTAGAGGTCCGTATTTGCTCTGCTCCCGATTTGCATTGTTTCAATGGACTTTTGAGCCGAATTACTGTTCGTTCTCTCCATATTTCATAACAAATCTGTTTGCGAAAGGACTTATTTTATTTAAGAACAACATTGATGAAATTTTGGATATGTTTTGCTCAAGGTTTTTTTATTCTACATTTTGAAATCATCCTTATAATTATATCTAAAATAAGAGTACAAAAAGTAGGAATCAGCTGACATCATCATTTTGTTTACCGGATAAGGAAAAACTGATACCTGCCACACACACAACCTGCTGCATTGAATTTTGAAATATTTTGCCGGAGAAACTAAAGATCACTTTTTTCCCTAAGCCTAAACTGCAGTTTAAAACAATAATTTTAAAATTCACTCTGAAGAAAGTTTGAAGATAATAAATGATATTGAATTCTCTTAATAATGTTATCCTGAAAAAAATTTTGCAATTTGAGAATGAGGTGATGGTAGGTAAAATACTAAACTGTTTAGATATACATGTATATATCAGTTCTTTTATTTTATTTTTTTTTAAATCTGCCAAAAAGTTTTTGTAATACAGAAGGATTTAAGACTGGGATTTCCTCATTCTTTTTTCTACCTAAAAAAGGTGTTCAAGAGAAGTAAAAAAAAATCTTGGGGGGAAAAGTAGGAAAAAATATGTTAGGAACACATGATTAGTAATATTGAGTATACGATGTAAAAGTTTGAGAATAAATAAAAAAAAAAACGTGCGCACATTTTTGTGTGCAATAAATACATCTATACACATTATCAATTGCCGGATCTGTTGTTCTTTTGCTGGTTGTCATTTTCTTTTTAACACCAGCGAGCTATGGAACCATTATAAAGTTGTAGATTTTTAACAGTGTAGATTTTAGGGGATTTTTTTTTATTGTCCCCGTAATCGAAGATTCGGGAGCAAATAGTTTTTGCTCTGTCTGTTTGTCCGCAAAAACCTTGCCTATAACTTTTGAATGGTAGTGCTGTTGCTTTCATGTATCACTTGTATACTCATTGTGACAAGATCTTTCTTTGGGTCCCAACATTTTAACCTTGCCCATATCTTTTAAATGGTTGGTGATAGGGCTTTCATATTTCACTTATTTATTCCGTATGACATAATCTTTCCTTTGGTACCAATATTTTTGACCTCATGACCTTGACCTTAGAATGTGACCGACTTTTGGAAAACTTAAACCTTGGCCATATTTTCTGAATTTTGGTGCTTTGGCAAACTCGATTCAGAGTAGGCTTTGAAAATTGCGTCACCGCTACTTTGTCTCCGATGCCATTTACATAAAAACTTTCTATATTATGCAGGTTTGCTTTCTGTTTTCTTAGTATACATACATATTATCAGAAAAAACAAATGTAACTGCATAGCTAACATATGTAAATTATCCCGGATTCTGAACATGCGCCGGCAGACCACAGGCGCTCCAGGATTTTTTCCAGGGGGTTTTTCCAGGGGGTCCACCCCAGTAAAAAAAATTTCAACTCAGAAATTTCTTGACAAGCAGAAAAAAAACCTAAATTCCTTCCCAAACGTATTAATTAAACTCTGAAAAGTTCTTGACAAGCCAAAAAAAAAAAAAAAAAAAAGAAAAAAAAAGAAAAAAAAAGAAAAAAAAAAGAAAAGCAAAAAAAAAAAAAAAACCCACGTAAAATCCATTCCCAAACGCGAAAAAAAACCTATTTCATGGTGGTAATAATGGGGTCCACGTCTTCTTGGGAGGGGGATTCAAAGTATTTTTTTTAAATGCTTCAGTATATTTTTTAATAACTCTGTAAATTCTAGGGGGGGGGGGTCTTGGACCCACCCATCCCCGACCCCCTCTAGATCCCTGCAGGGACCATATCGTCCTTCTTATAAATTGTCATGATATTATTACTATGAAAGATTTTCTTTTAAAAATTTACTATTTTAATGAGCATTTGTACATAAGCGTATCAATGCCATTTGGACACTTTTTTTTCTTTTTCCACACTTTAATCTGTAAATTTTACATTTTAATCTGTAAATTTTACACTATAATTTGTAAAATTTACACATTAATCCTTAAATTTTACACTTGAATCTGTAAATTTTACACATTAATCTGTACAGTTTACACTTTAATCTGTAAATTTTACACATCAATCTGTAAAATTTATACTTTAATGTGTAAAATTTACACTTTAATCTGTAAATGAAATATGGAGATAACGAACAGTATTCAAGCTCAAAGTCCATTAAAACAAATCGGGAGCAGAGCAAACACGGACCTACAAAAGCATCAGAGGTGGGATCAGGTGCTATGAAGGAGTGAGCATCCCCTGCCAACCGGTCACACTCGCCGTGTGCTCCTTGTCATGATCGGGAAATAACAGAAAAATCCGTCGACAATTCAGTGTGTAAATAATGGCCTAACAATTAGTATGTAAAACGTTAGTCAGCATATGACTTAATGATAGACTGTATTTGCTGACAAGATCAATGTATCGACAAATTTTACAGATTAAAGTGTAAAATTTACACATTAATCTGTATAATTTACACTTTAATCTGTATAATTTACACTTTTATCTGTTTAATTCACGTAATCAATTTGGCAAATTCATACGTCTTAAGTAACACGCTTTAAAGCCAACATACCGTGAATCCTGCATGATAAAATGTAATTTTGATTTCTTATTTAACAATAAATGTGGAAAATAATTACTTATCATATATTATTTGATGGATATAAAACAAATAATAAGCAATCTAGTATGACTGATATAATTGAGACTTTCATAGAGTATTTGAAAGAATCATGAATTCAGTGGAAGTGAAGAGCAAATCAAACACACATATCTTCCCAATGAATATGATATTAGTATCATTATACGCAAATTCATTTGATGCGCTCAGCAGTTCAAATATTGATAGCATTAATTGAATTACATTCTGCATGTATTATGGGCAACAATTGAATTACTTACTGAATTGAAACTTTTTTTAAATAACCAATTAATATACTAGTATTAATTATTAAAGTATATACACGTATAAATAATTAAAGTATATGAGTATATATTAATTTTGGAACAGCATAGAAATTAATATCCTTTGATTCTGTAATTTTCTGTGATGTTTCTTTATTGTTACGTTCTAAAATGACCGTCATTTTAAATGTTATATTTTAAATCATGATCATAGACCCATAAACTTGCAATATCACTCTGAAATGCGAATGAAAAGACAAAAATATTTAAGATATATATTTTTTACTGTTCGTCGCTCTTTACTATAGTACTAAAGAAATATACTCTGGATTGAAACAGATATTTTGTTGGGGAAAATTAAGAGGCCCATGAGCACATCGCCCATCCTTACTTATCATATATACATGTATAAACTTTTATGCAAACACTTGTGGACATCTCAGTTTTTTATACTAGTTTTCAAATGTCATAGGTATAACACCATGAAACGACCGTTCGATTATTACAGATTTCAGTAGAAGTTTTTCAGACTAAAGTGTAAAATTTACAGATTAATGAGTAAAATTTACAGATTAATGTGTAAAATTTGCACTTTAATCTGTAAAATTTACAGATTCAAGTGTAAATTTTACAGATTAATGTGTAAAATTTACCGATAAAAGTGTAAATTTTACACATCAAAGTGTAAATTTTACACATTAAAGTGTAGAAATTTAAAAAAAAAAAAACTGTCAAAAAGGCACTATTACGCTTCCGTACAATTGATTAATTATAGTCATGCAAAATTTGGTGAGTATTATTTGTTATGAACATTGTCCATGACTTTTTGGGACAATCCTCAAGTACATGATCATGACGTTAATTTGTTTTACAGTGGCATTCGTGATGAATACGGCTTCAAATCCAGTGAACATGTAGTTACTAGTATGCCTGAAGTTATGAACCGTTTGCGTTTCTTGAAATATTGATGGTATTGCTTGCGCAAATGCCTCAATACCGTTCGTGCGTGTTACTTTTTTGTAGATTAGCGATTTT